AGAACGTCTTTGACGACGCGATTCACCCTTTCGGTTTGACCATCGATCTGCGGATGATCCGCTGTCGACATATCCAACTTGGTGCCGAGCACCTTAAAGATAGTCGACCAAAATTTTCCCCTGAAACGGGGGTTTCTATCGGAGACAATCGACAGTGGGAGTCCGTGTTGTCGACAAACACGATCTACAAATGGCTTTGCTGTACCGACTCCGTCGATGGCGTCAGGCACCGCCGCCAATTGAGCCACCTTGCTCAATCGGTCGACGAATACCACGACACCCGTATTGCCCGTCGAATCTTTCGGCAGGCCAAATTCAAAGTCCAAATTCATGAACTGCTAGCACCCAGCGGGTACTGATAAGCTGACCAGCGGCGTAGCCGCATTCGAAGAGAATTTTATCCATTGACATGCTCACACGTGCGCACATAGGCGCTCGTCTATTTGTACAACTTGGACCACTAATAGTGGTGACTCAAAGAGTCGCACGTTTTCTCACAACCACAATGACCACTGAGTGGCGTGTCGTGCGCCTCATAGAGGATGTGGTATTTTTAATTCTCATCATGAGGAACCACAATTCGTGGTGTATCCGTTGAATCAGTGCTTTGATATAGCAAGTCATTATTCAACGAATATCGGTGCAATCGTGCACGCAATTTTTGTGACAATTTCTTGTCCGAGTTTCCAAACCCCTTGCTCCCTAGAGCCCGAAGCAACGCTACACACATGTCATCACACGCATACGCGGTGCGGATCAGATCTGTCACAGACGACGTTATAGTTGTAACATGAGCAAGCTCATAGTCTGGTCTGCGTGACAACGCGTCAGCCAAAGCATTGCTTTCCCGGCTTATACTTCACCTCGAAGTTATATTCCGCAAGGAAGGATAGCCATCTAACTTTCCCGGCTGATACTTCACCTCGAAGTTATATTCCGCAAAGACGAATAGCCATCTAGCCATCCTCTGCGAGGGCGACCGAGTCGCAGTAATAATGACGCATGATCCGTGTAGATCACAAACGACTTTGAGCCAAGCAGGTGGACCCTGAACTTGACAAGTGCAAACGTCATCGCAAGTAGCTCCTTGTCATGAACTGGGTAGTTCTTCTCTGCAGATTGGAACTATCGAGATTGGAACGCGATCACCCGATCTCTCCCCTCGGCGTTTGCTTGCAGCAGTGTACAGCAGATGGTATGGTATTGGCATTGTACGCAGTATTTAGTTCCCGGAACCTGGTCAAATTCATGACGCACACCTCGGTCCGGAGGTAGGACCGAAGGCGGGTCTTCGGAGACGACATCTTGATATTCCTTTACCAAAGGATAGTACGGGACCCATAGGACTCCGTAGGATCAACGATCCACTCCGTGCGTGCAGCACTCTATTGGTGTCTTTCAAGACAGCTTCATCCAGAAGTGACGACGAGTTTATCTCCTCGTCGGTCGTACAATGACAACTTCGGCCAGATCGTCTGACTTCAAGGAACATATCGTCAAGCTCAAGAAGAGCATCTACTGCAGGCATAGCCTCGAGGCGGACGTCGCCATCTTCCT